GAGCTGTCCTGAAAGGCATGTCCTCTGGCAAGTCCTTTTGTCCACATTTGCTGAGAACTTGGGAAACTCCCTGTTTCTCTTTTGCACCCATCAGTATGTAATGACTGTTGATAGAACTGTGGGGGACCAGCAGTGGCTGAAAAGATAAAAAGTATGAAATATAAATGACCTTTTTTTGAGAATGTGGGAGAGACACCCCCATCCCCCGGGGCGTGGCATCTCCGCCCTGGGGTTGGTGATCTCTCCATGGAACACGTGGAGTGGAGGCCTATATGTAGCTTAGGTTAGGGGTGGTGCCTGAGGGGGCATTAGGGATGCACAGGTAGCCCATTGACACTAGTTTGGCTCCAGAGGTAGATTCCTAGGGGTGGGGAAGATAGAGCCCCTTGGCTTTACCGGCTACAGTGTCCTGTCTGGGCCAAAACTCTTTGAACTGTTATGTCTGAATAGCTCTCAAACCCACTCTGTGATCATATCATTCCCTGCTTGATCTGTGCAGTAGCTTCTCAGTGTCTGCAGAATAAATTCCTAAGCCCTGGCCTGTAACTGAAGCTCCTTACGCTTCTTTGTATACCCGCTTCCTTCCTCTGAGCCTGTCCTCCAACCAATCCTAACTACTTGGACCTCTGAAAACTGCCATGTTCCTTCCTGTTTGATCTTTCAACTTTGATATCTTCCCTACCAGAGTCTCCCTCCTTGAAAGTCGAGTTGTCATTTCTCCCTATATCTGTTGCTTGATTCCCATATGTCCTCACCTCTCCGCCAGGCAGGTTTGGAAACTCATTTTGCTGAATTTGCAGCCTCCTTGAGATCCACACATTCTAACCAATGCTGTGTTTGCCTGCTCATCTTTTCCTGTCACTGGGCACCTTTGGGTCAGGGACTGATGGTTTCCCGTTGTGACTCAGTATTATTCATGGTGGGCTGAGTCCATAAACAGAAGCTCAGGAAATGCGAGCTGAGTGAAAAAAGAAGGTGAGAAACCCTTGTGCCAGGGAAAGGAGAAGATGAGAAGCTGCTTGCCGATTTTGCGAGGACACTGAGATTTTAGTTCTTCTTCTCTGTTTCAGGAATAGTGACTTCCCGTATTCATGACATTTCTTGTGGCAGGGGCCACTGGATTCCTGAGGTGGTCTTTTTGGCTGGCAGAGCACGGTGCTCTTAAAGGGTTGACAAAGGGCACCCTCAGAAACTGTGAAGCTGTGAAACTGTTGTGCCACTGTGAAACTGACAGCTGAGGGCTGCTGATACTGAGAGAGAGGAGAGAAGGGCACGGAAGGTAGCTGGGCAGGTGCTGTATGGAGAGGTGAGAATTAAGCTTACGTGGTGAGGACATCATTGCTTTCTCTTCCCTGTGGTAGTGGATCATCTTGTGATGAGTTTTTCATCTTGGGGTTTCCTCCTAGGGAAAGTCCTTCACTGCTGTTTTTCTCTTTTACTCACATGTGAGGTCCTTCTAGATGCCAATTAAAGGGTGACACCTGCTCTAGGGAACTGACCACTGAAATGACGGGCGAGAGCCCACAAGGGTGTCTGTCAAGTGGAAGTTGTATAGTACTTTTCATGTTTGTCAGAGAAATTGGCAAAAGCTTTCTTAGGATTATACTAATTAAAAAGTGGTACTTTGATTTTTGGGGAAATTTCAGAATTGCTCACAAGTAATGTTTATGTACATGTTTGTGACCCTCTTCCTTTCTTGAATTCGGTGATTCACTTCCCCTGAACAGTGAAGGAGGAGAAGGAGTTTTGTGCCCTTGGAAAGTAGAGGGAGGTATCTCATCATTTGGCCAGTCTGTGAAAACAGAGCCCCTTCCCCCAATATTACTTTCACTGGAGGGTTCAGATTGCCACTGTATGATAGAAGGAGTGGAGAATTCTCTTAATAGAATGTGAGTCAATATGTTGAATGATTGTGCTGTGTCAGTGTGCTCGGAGCGAGGATTAGACACCGGAAATGAGCTACTGTTTCTGGCTGTAAAATAGGTCCCTGGTATTGTTTGAAAGTAACATTAAACCTTTGGTCTGCAGGGCCCCAAACTTACTTTCTATTGACATCTTCCTCCTGGTGGGAATGAGTCAGGGAATAAGCTGCTCTGACTCCCTGGCAAGCCCTACCCTGCAGCTAGGGGGTGTGGCCCAGGCAAACTGAAGGTCAAGATGATGCATCCTTAAAGCCCAGAGCCACTTGCATGGGACTGACTCACTGTTGAGAGGATCCTGCTCTGTCCCAGAACCCATGAGGCTGTGCTACCTCCAGCCAAGCCCCAGATTGACAGCTATAATGCAAATCATTATTGAGGGTCACATTGAAACGTCTTAATTTTGTAGGAAGTGGTTGCTTATGATGATTAAAAGGTACCAGTAAGACATGGGAATGCTGGAGCCTCAAGCCTTGCTTCCCCTGGGCTCATTTGCAGAAAAAACTGAATGGATTTGGGTTCTCCAAGCACAGCAAAAAAGCAATCATTGTTCCAAAGTGGACTGTATTCCAGAAACAGCAAATCAACAGGAATCATAGCTGTGGTCTATCAGTGGGTTGTGGTTCATTTGCCTGAAAATTGGACCTTCTTTAGGGTCTGAATTTCTCCCATTACTAAATGTGTGTGTGGTGAAGAGCTGTAGAAAAAAATGACTTTGCTGCAAGAGCAGTGAAACTGGACTCTAGACTGTGTATTTGTGGACAGGGGCAGTGTATGACTACAAAGAGACTCAGCCCTCACAGGTAGTCCACACCTTGCCCCATCTTCCTGCAATACCCTTATGACCAAAAGAGCTCAGAAAGCCCTTCTCGTCTAAAATCTTCTACACAGTCTTTCATGTGTCTTTCCCCACTTCCTCTGTCATGGATACCATCTCTGACTCCCAGTTCTCAGAATCTAGCTTTTCTAAATCTCCATTTCTAAAATATTCTCTCTTTGTCTCATGCTTGGTCTCAGTCTCTCAGGTCTAAGCTGGATTAGGAATCAATAAAATTTATTGTCTACTTTCAGTTTTTAGTATTACAATCTTAAGATCTGGCTTAATCAGAGCCTGGATTTTGAAGATGGTGCTTTACTTTCAGGAGAATTGAAAACCAGCTAGGATAGTTTTATGAGAGGGTATTGTTAGCTGCTCATGGCATCTGTGCATACTTGGTCCTAGGGTCCAGGGCTGAGGCAGCGTGAGGGCTCAGTCAGCCTGAAGGTATTGGTGGCTGCCCGCAAAGACTTCCTTGTTGAGTAACATTTGTTTCTGTAGCAACTTTTTGACCAACTATTCTAACCCTGTTGCCTGCAGAATGAGGTCAGGTTAGTACCTTCTCCATAGAACTTTGCTGTCTCTGGGGGTGTTTGTTGATTACAAACTACGGATTCGACTTCAAGCCCATCTTGTGATAGGTGCAGTTCAGGTGGGTTTCATTGTAGAAGCAAGAAGACTAGTTGAAGGAAAAAGTTATTCGTGAGAGCTCTCTCTTCTGTCTTTTGTGTTTTCCACTGTAGCTCATCATTCAGGTACAAATGATGCTAAACCTGTTTCATAAAATGGTCCTTCATAAATGTATATATCATGTATCCTATAGAAAATGCCTGTTATTTTGGTTTGAATTTATCTTGTACAGTCACTACAAGACTTGATGTTCATAAGTGTTGATAGTTTGAATCTAGATGTCCTTCCCCAAAGCCTCATGTAGTCATTGGTGGGGGGTTTTCAGGGGTGGCTGAATCTAGAATGTTCTGTTGATTCACGTGCTAGGATTAAGGGTGGGTGATTAGTAAATCAGTCTGCTGATTGGTTTGATACTGCCCTAATCCTGCCCTAAGCCCTGGATACAGCATGAGGAACAGAAAGAGGCTTGTCTTGCCTCTTGCTTGCTTTGCTGTCTTCTGCCCACCATGAAGTGTTTCTCCTTTGGGATGCCCTTCTGCCATACTAACCTGCCTTGGGGCCAGCCAGTGATGGACTAAGACCTCTACAAACTGTGTGCTTAATACATTTTCCCCCTTTAATTTTGGGTGTTGGGTATAGGTTTCAGCAATGAGAAAAAAGTAACAGACAAGAGAGTAATGGAAGTTTCTCTAAGTGAGAGATTTTAATAAATTGGGCAAATAGAAACTGTAATCCAAGATACCAGCTCAAGAGCAAGGACTGTTCAGAATTGTTTAATTTATTATGCATAAAATGCTGACTGAAAATGGCTTGGAGAAAGAACCAGCAGGTGGCGAGAAGCTGAGAGATGAGACTGTCTGCAGGGATGGTGTGCTGCTCCAGGCTGTCCTCCTGTTGTCATGGATTCATGCCGACATTCCTCAGGATTAGGACATCACTGTGGCTTCCATGAAGGTGTTCTCTTCTGCTTGATCTGACGTTGATGATTATGTTGTATAGTAGAGGAAAACCTTCATCTTTAGGTATTAGTTATGTTACTTAGCTTTCCCTTAGTAAAACAAATACTTGAGATGAATCAGCTTTATAGAGACAAAAGTTTGTTTTGACTCACACTTTTTCAGGCTTCAGTTCATGACCATTTGACCGATTTGCTTTTGGGCTTTGCTTTGGGCGTGAGGCCACACATCATGGTAAAGATCATGGTGTGGTGGAGCTGCTCTCCTCTTACCTAGGAATGAGTGAAAGGATAGGGAAGGGACTTGAGTCCCTCCGTCCCCTTCTGAGGCACAGCCTCAGAGACCACAAGACCTCCAGCAAAATGCCAGCTCTTAAAGTTGATACCATTATCCAATAATACCATGGACTGGGACCTAAGCCTTTAACACATGGGCTTTTGGGGGACTTTTCACCTCCAAACTATAGCAGCCTCTGACTTACTATAAGTATCTTTGAGGCATACATGCGTACGCACACACACACACCCTACCCTGCAAACATAGGACACTCAAATGCTTTTGGGTTGAATTGTTAATGCAATTTGGAATCTAATTTGATTGACTAGTCAATGATGGCTTGTAATTATTAGCAGAGTTACTGTTTTGTCTGTTTGACAGTCGATCCTCTTTTCTGTCTAGGTGATGGTCCTAACTCTCCAAAGGAGGATACCCCCACCAGCAGTCAGGACTCACTTTCTTCCCCATCTCCTACCGCTGCAGCTGTGCATGGGCTCCCTGCATCAGACAGAAATCACCTCCTGGCAGATGGAGGAACCTGCGGGGACTTGGTAGCCACTACGTAAGTTGCTGTGCTGTGTTCAGTTTGGTGCTGAGGAAAGAGAACTGTGACCCCCTTGGGATTGATGTTTACTCGGCCAGTGGGCCCTGAAGCCATTAGAACTATTTATGCTGCATTCACTGTAGCTGCCCCAGGGAGAAAGGGCCATAGGCTAAGGAAGAATCTGTGTACTTCAAATATTTAGGTTTACACACCTGTAATCCCAGCCCTGGGGAGCCTGAGGCAGGAGGATTGCCATGAGTTCAAGGCCAGCCTGGGCTATATATTGAATTTGGACCTCCTGGTTCAGTTTGTGGCACTTTTGGGTCATTCAAACAGACTTTGTTACTGTTCTACTTATGATATTGTGTCATTACTTATGCAAACTTGGAGAGAGCTGAGAATGCATGCATGTGATGGATGGTCTCTTGAAACTGCCTGCAGAGCGATATTTTAGTTACATGAATGTTTGATATCAGCATTCATGTTAGCATTCTGCTCTATTTTACCCCATAGCTCCCTGCATAATGGAGACTCAACGAAAGTACCTGATTTTATATCCTGTGTTTTGGTTTAGTGCCAGACATGGGCAGATCAGCTCAGGTATATTAGGACATATAATACAAATCCAAGGGCAAACAAATACAGAAGGCCTTGAACACATTTGAGTGTATAAGAGTTTGTTTTGCTGTATTGACAGGCTGTGGGGTTGGAGCAGAGTGGGGGGTTGGTGTGGGACCTCATTAGGACATCAGATTTCAAACAAGTATTCAGGGAAGACAAAAACAAAGTCTTTTGTAATTATAAGGTATTACTTGATTAGTCAATCAGACTACATCCAAAAATATATTTATCATTTACGCAGAGAGCATTGATTTTTTTAAACCAAAGTTGCTAAAAATAAATTGTAGATAATGATGTCATCTGACCCTGGCTTGGAATTCTTGGTACTTTAAATGGATTGGAAAGTGTCCCTCACATTACGTGGCTTTTTATAGATACAGCAGAATTCACATGAAATCATTATGAACCTATTAAGTATTAAGAGAGTCTGGAGAGATTTGGCATGAGGAGATTTTGAGGCAACCTGAAGATGTTGAAAAGCTAACTTAAATCAGAGCAAAGGACCCAAATATGGGAAAATATTCTCTAGATGAGCTTGTTTCTCTCCTTAGATTGTCATGTGTGTTTACTACTTAAACTTCACCTTTACTGTCTGTCCCCACACCTTCTGGGTACTGGGGACTGAACTTGGTGCCTCATACAAGTTGGGCAAGCACTACTACCACTGAGCTATATCTCCAGGCCGTCTTTACTGTTTCTTAGTCACAGTTAGAAGTCTTTTTTAATTTACTGCTATACGCAACCATAAAACTAGTTATATAGGAACCCAGAATCCTAATCCTGGCTGCACTTGAGATGGAGTTGAGGCTGTGTGTATTGTAGTGCAAGCGAGATCCCTAATTATTTCTTTCAGTAAGTGTGAATCACAGGCAGTAGAGAACAGTTTAGTCCTCTTCTTCCACAGTGATTTTGCAGAAAAGTGACATTATGAGCTGTGGGATTGCCGATGTTCAATTCGTAGCATGCCCAGGCCTGAAACAAGAAGAGCTTGATATTTTTGGTCATAAATCAAATGAGGAGTGAATTCCCCAGTTTCCTATTTGTGCACATTTGAAAATGTCATGAGAAGCACACCAACCTTGAGGTGTAGAAAGCGGGGTGGGCAGACATAGTGGGAAGGAGATTGTTGTTAAAATGTAAACCTGCCCCTGCCTCAGGAACTAGATTCTTTTTTTTTTTTTTTTCAGTGTAATGGGTGAAACACATCCTGTTTCTCTTGGGTCTTAGAAAGTTTCTGGTGTAATGTTTTAGGGTTTAAGTGAGCATCTGTTAGCCTAGCTGGGTCTTTGCTGTAGAGAAAAGCACTCCTAAAATTTGAACACACCTTAGAGTCACTTGGTAGAGCTGGTTAAACCCATACTCCTGGGCTGTGGCTTGCAGCTCAGGGATAGAGCACATGCTTAACATGCGTGAGGTCCTGGAAGTGGTTAACAAAACCAAAAAGCCGTGCTGGAAGACCCGTCCTAAGCTGATGGATCTGGATCTGAGAGGGAGCCTGAGAGTTTACAGTTCTAAGGAAGTTCCCAGATGATGATTGGTGATCCCTGACCTGGGGAATTGTGTTCCTGCACCTCCTGATTCTATCATGTGTTCATTGTGGATGGCTTCTCTGAGGGGTATAATTAGAATAAATGATTTCTCTGCCTATTTTTAAATGTTTTCATTTTAACTGACATGCCATGGCTGCGTATATTTATGGGATACAGAGTGACATTTCAGTCCATGCATACAAAGTGTGACGGTCAGATCTGGGTAATGAGCACATTGATCATTTCACATATTTATCATTGCTGTGTTTTTGGACCTTTCCAGACTGTCTGCACCAGCTTTTCTGGAAATATGCATCCAGTTACCCTACTTGTGTTGTAGAGCATTCAAAGTGGCCCCTCATTCAATCACATGGCTGTACCACTTAACATCCTCTCTCCATTTCCCTCTTACTCTTCGTAGTCTTTAATTTTATTGTCTAGCTTTGGGCAAGGGAAAGACATATAAAAGATACACACATACCACATAAAAATCAAATATACGAAAAGGCAAATAGTAACTTAAAGGCAATGTTTTATTGAACTAATTTTATTAAACTAACTGTGTGCCAACGATGGTGAACCTTTGAGAAACGTGTCGCCACACTGCAACACAAGACCCACTTATTTCTTACAAAATACCAACACTGCAATTAAACCTGAATACTGTGATTGTGTTTACAAAAAATAGTCATACTTTAACATCTTTTTTCTTAAAAGAAAAACAAGATGAGTGTCATAGGTTTGCCACCAGATCTGTGCTCTGCTTCCATGAAATCAGTGATTGTAGCTTCTGTATATAAGTGTGAAAGCATGCACTAGCAAAAACACACTTGTAGTGTGGTGTGCTTTCCGGTACTCTGCATATGCTTCTTGAATATTTTGATTCCTTACGCCCTGAATGTCTTCCTGCCTACTTGTTTAAGATACTCTTACCTGTCTACAGGGTGTACTTTAGTTTTCATCTCCAGGGTGTCTTCCTTCATACTCTGTTCTACAAGGGGCCTTTAAGTGACACCTTTGTTTACTGATACTCGTTATTTGGCATCAATTAAAGACAGTCTTTTAGTATTGTTACTACTTGCCTTTTATATTATTTGATATTTATGTGATTTGTGTGTATTTTTCTACATATCTTTCCTTTGCCACAAGTTAGAACACAAAATTTTCAGTGATAGAAATTGAATCTTATACCCTAAACTTTTTCGGATACAAACATTGTTATTGGGTCATTCAGTTTCTTGAATTATTTTGTGTTTATAAAAATGCATGCCTTTTTGAAATCCCATTTTTGTCTGCATATCATTCCTTGTCTCTTATGATAGCATATTTATTTTCCAATTCATCTTTCTTTTTCCTGATAAAGAAATATCAAAAACTCTTACTCCAGGAATTCCACCAAAATTGTCTCATCAATTTCTCTTTGTAGCACTGTTCCCTTAGTTTTTGTAAGGTATATTCTATATCCCCTCCACCCATGTGTGCATGTGGGTGTGTGTGCATGTGTGCACATCCCTTCTGTCTTTCCTCATCCCTGAGTGTTGAGTACTGTAGGTTCTGAGTCAATGCTGGTCAAGTTCCTGGTGAGATGGGGTCATTAAAACCCTGCCCAGGGTGTTACAGAGCAGGGAATGCCTGTGTTACTTGGTTTAGAACCAGAGTGGTTGATTTTCTTTTCCAAAAGTAACACTTATCTCAGGTCCCACGAAATAGAGTCCAACAGTACGTGGGTCACATAAAACCCAATTGCCCGCTTGTACAGAAATCCTATAACTTATCCCTGGCAAGGAAATTTGCAGAGGAAAGCCTGCAGCTGTGATTCTGATAGATGCAATGTGTAAATACATCTGTGGCCTCTGCCAGGTGGAAAACAATGCAGCAGAATTGGATTTCTTGAGTTTTTGCTGATGCTTATGACTTGTGGGTATTATTCATTGCAGTCAATCTATCTGGAACTATTACTTACCTGTGCACTCAGTAAGGTGATGGGTGACTTCATTGCCAGTGAAGAATTGCTAGCTCAGTCTCCTTTGAGGATATTACATCATAGGTCAAGGTATTTCAAATGTTCCGAAGTCATTTCCCCCCAATAAAGTAGTTTTCTTTAAACAGGTTTTCTTCAATTGTAATTGATGGAGTTGGGTCCTTGACAAGTAATCCTTTTAGGTTTTCTGCCTCAGAAGAAAATTTCTTTTAAGAAATACCAGGCATTGCTCTCTGCTTTCTGTCCAGATTTCAGATGAAAGGCACACCTTCTTTTCTGTATATGCAGGATGGCAGCTCCCTAGTTTCTCTAGCTGGGGATATCTGTACTCTAAGGCATATCTTACAGTGGACCGGCAGGCCAGCAAGGCAGTAGTTTCCCACCTGCTGAGAGGCTTGGCTTTGTTTGTACTGAATGTTAAGACATTCCCAAAACATGTATCCTGGCTACTGCCCTGAGCCACCATTGTACCCCAAGATTTGTGCCTATGCATACTTGATGTTGGGTGGTTAGTTACTTGTTTTTGCTTGTGTCTTTCTGTGTTGGAGACCACCTATGGGCCTCATGCACAATAAGCACATATTCTACCAGTGAACTGTACTTCTAGCCTGATAGTGTTATTTGAAGCCACTAGGTAAAAGGCAGATACAGTGGAGCATGCCTGTAGTCCTAGCTGCTTGGGAGATTAAGGTAGCAGGATAATTTCAGCTCGGGAGTTTGAAGCCAACCTGAAAAATGCAGTGAGACCCTGTCTCAAACAGAAAAGCCAGGTCACTCTGTGAACCCTCCATTTCCCATACAAAACCTTGTATCTGTTATCAACTTACTTAATGTAAACTTAACCAAATAGAGGTTTCCCAGAGTCAACTACTTGGCATTTTGGATTA